TGTTTACCTTTATGGTAATTTTGATTTTGAAGAAGAGCCAGAAATCACAAGATGCCACACCCTGAGAACAGGGTGGACGAGGACACTCTGCAATGGTTTTTTGTTGTTGTTTTTTTTGGTACTGGGGATCGAACTCTGGTCCTTGAGCTTGCGCAGCAGGTGGCGAAACCTCTGAGCTAAATCCCCGGCCCTCTGCAATGATTTTTCAAGCCTGCCTTTCTGTTGGATGGCACTTAGCAGCAAAATTCATGATATTTTTGATTGTACCTCATAAAGACACTTCCAGAACTGCTTCAGAAAGTAGCAAGAATAATGGGAAAAGTGTGTTTGAGATAAGAGAGAGTATTTTGAGAGGGATTAATGGCAATGTGTCCTTTGCTACAATAACTTTTTCAAAAATTTAAGTGCACACTGTATCTCTTGACCGCCCCTTGTATGCCCACTGTTGCGCTGGGGAACCTGAAGTCCCCACCTCTGAATCACCCGCTCCGCGGGTCTTGTTCTTGCTCTCCACTCACTTCCTTGGACTTGATGTTGCAGACTTCCCCCCATTGCTACCTCATTCCTACTTGAGCCACGGACTCAGACCCCAGCTCCTCCTTTTCCTGATTCCTGGAACCTAAGACTAACCTTGGTCTGCACCCCACTCTCACTCCCATACCAAACTCAAACTCTCGGTAGCAGTCTGCAGCAAATCTTCCCCTCAGAGCCTCATTTTTTTTTCCAAAACTCCACTTGTTTGAGAATCAAGGTGTGGCAGCTCACATACATAGAGCCTCATGAGCACAACAGAAAATCTAGAAAAAGTCAGTATAGACTTTCCTGGAATTTGAAGATGTCTTTGAGCTATTAAAACTATAATACCATATCTTCTTAATGTAACAATCTCTCTCTCTCTATCTCCCCCTCCCTCCCTTCCTCTCTCCTTCCTTCCTTCCTCCCTCCGTGTCTCTAATCTTTAGAATGTTCACCCAAGTACTTTTGAGTAATTTTCACATGAGACAAGGAATTTTTCCAGCGAAAATCGGTAGTAAATGCTATTCTCAAGTAAGGCACTAGGTGGAGCATGTGAATTTGAAGAAAATTTGAGATTGGAATTACTACCGGTAGTGACGATCATTTAAAGCAAGGAAATTGAAAAAATTTAAGCCAAATTTATTTTCTCTAATTTTAGCTATAGAGAAATATAAAACAATGTAACAGTTTTTACAAGTATATCTAAAGTCTAAGATAATGTTTTTAAAAGAGGCAGAAATTGGAATCAATAATGTTTCTCTTCAGTAAGCTCTCCAAACCCCATAGCCAAAGGAAAGTAAGTCAGACTGCAGTTTCAGAGGAGTATTAATTGGGGTAGACAGAAAGGGATATATACACATACAGATGTTTTCTGGTTGGGAAAGTGGAATGATCTTTATCAGAATGGAAAGATCTTGTATATACATAAGCTTCTAGATTATGAACTTCAATTTTTGTAGTAAATAATAAGTAATTTCATCAGCCATAAACAGGGGAAGAGGTCACGAACTGCTAATAACAGTAGATAAAATTTTTTTAAAGCTGGTGGGTTTTGCTTGTTTGTTTATAAAATATGACTGGGGCAAACTGTTGTGAGAATCAAATTCAGACCTCCAGACAGCATCCACATGATTCTTGGAGGCTATATTTATCTTTTTATGATTTTTTTCCCCAGTACCAGGGATCGAACTCAGGACCTACTTGCTATGCAGGCACTGCTCCACTGAGCTACATCCCCAGCCCTGGAGGCTATATTTGTGCTACAGGGAGACAGATTGCTGCAGCATATGGACAATCTGCTACAGGCTTAAAGACACTCATTCCCAACCTGGTGACTTTGGGCTATGTGTGTCTACACTGAAAGTGTGTTTATTTGTGAGGCTGCAGTGCAGGTCTGCCCCTGCACTGCTTCCCTTTTAGTTGGCTCTGAGAATATTATCCAACAGGAAGCTGGACATTTCACGGTGTGCTTTAGATGACATTTGAGTCCCAGTCAGAGTGTCTGAGAAGCACACCATGGATCCAGTGGCACTTTGAATTCTTGTTTCCTTCCCCAATCTACCTGTTACCATTACGCACTCAGAGTCCTGAGACAGCTGCTTCTTGCTATCTGTCCAAGGTGTTTAGTTTCACTGGGTGGAGAAGCAAATGAAGATGCTTATTCCATCTTGACAGGAGCCAGATCTTCTGACAAAGTTTTAATTCTTGACTTTCTTTGTCAAATGAAAATGTGGAATAACCTCCAACTCGTAGCTTATTTCACACAATTATAAGACATAAATTTAGGAAGGAGATAAACTAGCTGAACTTCATATGATGAGAATGATTTTATTAAAGAGCATTAAACCTTTGTGTAATTTTGCTAGATGATTAACTTCAAACTAAAAAAAAAGCTTAGATTTATGTGTAGGGGTTTTGAGCAGAAATATTCACCTTTCTGCCCTTTTATCTAGTGAAATGATTAGCTAGAAGTAGGGAGCTGCTCTGAATTATAGTGAAAAATCTATATTTCAGACAAGTTTAATTTCTCTTTGACATCATCAATATACAAAGACACCAATGAATAAATTGTTCTGTTTGATAATTTAAAAATGCTTAGGTTATACCAGGCATGGTGGTGCACACCTGTAATCCCAGTACTTGGCAGGCTGAGGCAGGAGAATTGCTGCCGACCCAGGGACAGCCTGGGTTACATAGTAAGTTCAAGGCCACCCTGAACTACATTTGAGACCCTGTCTCAAAAACAAAACTAAAAAAAACACAAGCAAATAAACAAAAATGGCCCCCTAAACAAAAAACAAAAAAGATTTTTTAAAAAGACAAAAATACCAACATTATAAATTTTATTTTATTAAATAAAATTAAGCTGCATTCTATCTGGGCCCTTTATATGAATTAGCAGCAAAACTAGTCCCAGTACAGGAAATGACTAATAATATGTTTGCAGTCTCCCCTCTTCAAATTCATCAATATAGAGAAGGGGAAGGAAGATTTAATTTAATAGACTTGAAAGAGAAAAAAGCCAATGTTTGGCTCTTTCCATTGTGTTATAAGCTCAAGACTCAATATGTAGAACTGATGAAATTGCATCTTTCTTTCTGCCTGCTTCTGCGAACTACATGTAGCAAGGGGGTAGGTGTATATCAAGATTCCATGACTTCTATATGGTACTCACTGAAAAAGATGGAGGCAGAAGCAGCCTCTGGGCCTGTCAGAGGTTGATATCCTATTAAGCCATGATGAAGGTGGGCATACAAGGTGACAGGGAAGAACTCAGCTGTAATGCTTCTCTCCTAGTAAACTTACAGTACAGGAGAGGATATCTTACATATAATTTTGTTTAATTAATGGTATTTTGAGTAATGTGTGGAGTTAACACAAATTCTTGATTCCAGATTTTGACAAGGATGTAATCATAGGACTTGGTGCACTTTTCCAGTCCTGCATTTGTATATCTATATATGCTATCAACCACCTTTGGGATAGATAGACCAGTCATGGGTGAGTCTATTTATAGATCAGAAAATTAGGATACTGGCTGTAGGAGGATTTGCTGAGTATCCCACACCACATTACTTACAAGTCTGAGACTAGAACCCAGAGCTCTTACCTTCTAGATCAGTGCTTTTCCCCAACACCACATTGAGTAGTGACATTTATGAAGGGTATTAAAGGAAGGCCTACTTTGAGCTTGAATTAATGTTCTGCTTGAAAGAGCTAGTTTTTGGTATACTGTAGCAGATGGCTTATTGTTACTACCAACCAAATTTTTAAAATATCTGGTGAGCAATGCCCCACCCCCAAGAAAAATCCCACATTTATACCCAAAAAGATGTGTATCAAGATTGTGAGTGCTATATTCTTTGTAGAACCAAAAGAAATGGAATAAGCTTAAATGTTGACCAACATAAGAATGGGCAAATAGGTTGGCATATATTTATGTGATGAGATATTATCCAGTGTTAAGGTGACTGACAGTTTGAAAAATCATAATGCTAGATGAAAAAAGAGTAAGTTTGAATGAAACCTAGAGTATAATATAATTTTTCCCCCCATTAAGTTTATCGGTACATTTTAGGTATACAATACAGTTACGTTCCTCACTGGGGTCTTGTACCATTACATGAGTCTCTTGGTTCTTATTTTTTTTCCCCTTCCCTTGCCCTCCCTTCACCCCCTCCACCCTTCCCTATTTGCAAAGACCTTGTTTCCATTTTTTTCCTCTTCTCATATTTTTTCCTTTATAATTTTTCTAATTAAATCTACAGGACCTATGTCTTGCTCATATATTTGGCCAGCATTTCGAAATAGACTAGAAGGACACCAAATAGTGGTCACCTCATGAGAGAAATGGGATGAGACAGAAGTCACAAAGGGAATTCATATGAACAAATAAGATAAGATGTGAACAGTGACCAGTTCTTTGGTATTTATTATCTCAGGAGTTTGCTGTAGCTTTAAAATATCTCAGAAAATTTGGAGTGAGGCTGGCAGATTGGGCAAGGGGATAGCAAGGGAAGGAAGGCGCTTACACATCTACCCCAGCAAAAATTCTATGCCTGTAATAAAAACAGGGTGCAGAATGACATCAGTGAAATTTCTGCCTATTAAGGGCTCAAAATTTTTATGACTTGGTCTCTTTTATCTGAAATATTGCACACGAGGAGACAGTAATCTTGCATCACACTGAGCAGAGAAAATGTAGGGTATATATACTCCTAGAAGGGCTATGGGTGAAACTGAAGAAACAAAAATATATATGATAGGTGGACCTAATTGGTAATGCTTCTCACTATAGCAGAAAAGAACCTCGCACGATAGAGTTGGCTTCTCTGATGGCTCAACAAGGAAGGGCTTGGGCATCCGGACTGGGCTTGCCCTTACTGTCTCTGAGGTCTCTGAATGCATCATGGGACAAGACTGTGAATGAGTCACCACACATCATTTACTGCCTGAATGCTAATACTCTCTTGATACATTTCTAGGCATGAAAGGATGCATACCAGAAGACCCTATCATGTGGAAGATGCTGAAAAATACTGCCTTGAGGATGATTTAGTTAATCTAGAGGTCCTGGATGAGGTGCTGAATATTTAATAGACAGTTCTCATTGACGGCTTTTGTTTCACATAAATAGTCTGACCTTTCTGTTGTAGGCCATGTTCTTTTAAGGTCATTTGAAAATTTTAATGGTATAGCCATGGGAAATTCTGGGTACACTTGGTTACTGAACCTGTGATCCTGTATTACGTTCATTTATAGTCCCTGGAATGAAGAGAAAGGATTTGGATTTTTCTAAGAAAGCTTTTTTTTATCATAGGCCTTTATGATGGATTCTATCTGCTGAAATTAATTTCTGTTTAATAAAAATTTCAGTTAACTATTAAGATAGTTGTTTTTCATAAAGAGAAGCTACACTTAGCAAGTAATGAAGTTATATACTTGCATTCTAAATCTGAAAACTGTAATATCCCTCTTTAACATATGCATGGTTAATGGAGCCTTTAATTGCACTGGACCTGCTTTTGCTGAGTCTAACTCTGGGGACCTCTAACTTTAGCACTTCCATCACTAACATGTAATATCAAAATGTTGCAATTCAGATTCTTCATGGATTTTAAGTGCAACATTTTGAGAAATGAAATTGCTATCTTTTTCTGCGCTTTATGTTAAGAATGGCCTCTTATATTCTAAATAGAACATTTTTCCCAATAACAAGTAAAATCTTTGTTGGATATCTCAATGTCCCAATTCTTCCAACATATTTTTATTCTTTTTTTTTTTTTTTTGAACCGGGGATTGAACTCAGGACCTTGTGCATGCTAGGCAGGCACCATGCCACTGAGCTAAATCCCCAGCCCCGTATTTCTAGTCTTAATTCTTTCAAGTAAAATATATGAATCATTTCAGTGATTCAGAACATTAGGATCACTGTATGATTTAAATGGACACTTTAATCTTTTAGAGAAAAATGTTCTTGTAAGAATAAATTCCTTGTTTTTAGAAACTGCCTTGATTGAGTGTAATGTTTACTCTCTGTACCATTTATCCTCTCCTTAGGATACAATTATTCATCAGTTGCAGAAACGTTATGCAGACTTGCTGATTTACACATATGTTGGAGACATCCTAATAGCTTTAAACCCCTTCCAGAATCTAAGCATATATTCCCCGCAGGTAAGGGAGACTTTAGGAGCATATTGCTCATCAATGGAAAATTAAAAATCACAAGGGCTGGGCTGGGGGTGCAGCTCAGTGGTAGAGCGCTTGCCTAGCATCCACACAGCCCTGGATTCCATCTGCAGTACTGGAAAAAGAATCACATGGGCAAGTGAAGATGTGTTAATAAAACCACATCGCCCTAAGGGTGTATACCCCAAGCTACATATAATAATGCAAAACAAATGGAGGTTTTTTTACCTTTGGGGAGTAACTTTTTAAAGCAAGGTGCAATAATAATACCTAAAATTATTGAGTGTTTACTATATGCCAGGCACTGGATTATGTGTTGGTTTTTTTTTTTTTTTTTTGGTACCTGGGATCAAACTTGGGACCTTGCGCTTTCGAGGCAGGCGCCAGAACCACTGAGCTAAATCCCTGGCCCCCGGCATTGGATTATGTCACTTCTCACAACTCTGTGAGACAGGGACCGTTATTAAGCCGATCTGGCAGACAAGGAGACTTAACATAGAGAAGTTAGCACCCTTGCACCAGCCAATAAATGCAGAACTGCAATTTGAACTCTGGCCAGCAGACTCCAGACAGCATTACTGAGCCCACAAGTCCCCTATCAAGTGACAAACTTTCGTTTCCTGGGCAATAGATAGTGAGAGCTTTAGATGATCTAGTGGGGAATTAGAATCTTCCTTTAAATTAGTTATTTTTTCCTTCAGTTTTCCAGGCTTTATCATGGAGTGAGACGTGCCTCAAATCCCCCCCACATATTTGCATCAGCAGATGCTGCTTACCAGTGCTTGGTTACTTTCAGCAAAGACCAGGTAGGGACTCACCTTCCTTTCCTGCCAAGTCACCTGTAAGACATCTTTCATCTTCCTCTTCAACTTCTAACGCTTCTTGAAACCTTTCTGTCCCAATTGCCCAAGGAAATGGGAAATGAAATTGCAGCTCCAAGCACCCAGAAAACTGATAAAGCCATAGTAGCAGGAGTGGAAGAAACCCCTTTTCAAGAAACATCAAAAGGACTCACTTGCTCTCATGAAATGTAATAAGATATTTCTAATATGAATATAATGAGAACATAGAGCAAACATGACCTGATTATATGGCAATGACTGTAATAAAAGCTGGATGCTGAATGGTATAAATGAAATTCCTTCCCATTAACAACTGTCTCAGAATTTTCATGACTTGGTCTTTATATATGAAATTTTATACTTGTGTTAGTAGTGATCTAGCACCACACCAGTTACCTGCTGAGAAAGGATGGGTTAGGTCAGACTGAATAAACTTCAAACTCAATGTTAGTGAAACACAAACTTTACTTACACATTTTAACTTGCTAGACTTCCAGTTCATGGTGGTGGCATCCTACCTTTGATATCAATAGATTTATTTTCTATATCTTATTTGCAACACAGGCAATCTAATTTGGTGAGTAAATTTTATGAGAGATTCACTGTGTGTATATTTCCTGAGATCTATGAAATCCAAATTTTGGGGTGAAGTATAAATAAAATTATAACAATGCAAGTTGCAAAATAGAATACTTGGATTCACTGTAGGTTAGAAATGTGTCTTCTCCAGATTCTTACTCATCTCAGGCACTTATGAAACACTGATAGGTTTCACAGAAAAGAAGTAAATGGAGAGAGAAGATGTGGTTTTCAAGTTGAGAAATTGCCCCACTGTGTTGTCCTTTTTCTGGACACCCAACATTGTATATTTTCTGACACTAAGCAATTCTCCAAGTCTCTGACAACAACTGGTCTCCTGTAGTTCAGTTCACTTCTGACACTAATTATCTGGAGCTAGCACGGACCCCACAATTTAAGTGCTCAGTCTTGCAAGACTGCCCACCTCAGCTGCCAGTCACACATGGAGTAGCCAGGCTTCCCACCCTTTTGCCAAGCCAACTACAAATTCAGGGATTCCCACGACCCCATTCAGGCTTGCTGATTCACTAAAGCAGCTCACAAAACTCAGGGAAACAATTAACTTATGTTTACTGGTTTATTGTAAAGGGTACAACTCAGAACTGCCACATGGGAGAGATGCACAGAGTAAGGTGTACGGGGGCAAGTATGGTCCATGCAGTTTCCATCCTCCTCTGGGCATACTCCCTCCCAGCCTCCCTCATTCCCTCCTTCCTCATCACCTTGGCTGTTCATTGAATGTCATTGTTCAAGAGTTTTTATAACTTAATCTCCAACTTCTTTCCCCTCCTTGAGGCTTGGAGGTGGGGCTGAAGGTTCTCACCTTCTCATCACCTGTTTGGTCTTTCTGGTGACCAGTTCCCATGTCAAAGCAGTCTAGGGCTCCTGCCTTGAACTACCTCATTAGCCATGAACCGAGGTGTGATTGAAAGGAGTTCCTTGTGAATAACAAAAGATGCTGCTATTATCCCCAACACTCAGGACATTGCAAGGATTTTAGGAGCTTTTTATCAGGAGCTAGGGACAAAAACCAAATATGTAATTTTTTACTATATCTGATCTAATAATTTCCTTTATGTATAAAGAGCTCCTAGAAATGAACGATAAAAAATGTCAACCATACAATAAAGAACAGGCAAAGGATAGGGATTAGCCACACACAAAAAAAGAAAATATGAATGACCTCAAGTATGTGGAAGGGTGTTTACCCTCATTCATAATTTTTAAAATGCAGATTAAAGCTGCACTGAGATACCATTTTTTACCTATCAGATGGAAAAAATCCAACATATTCTGTTGGTGAGGGATAAGAGAATATGTATTGGTAGAGTTCTTAGCAAAGCAATTGGGTAGTACTTGTTAAATTTACAAATATATTTACCTTTTGATCTAACATCCCCACTTCTTGGAATTTATTCTAAAATGAACATGCATATAAATATAATGATCTATATATAATGTACCTGCATATAAAAGTAACCACCTATGTATAGCATTAGTCATTGCAATATTGTTTGGCAAAAGAAAAAATTCAAGTATCCATCAGTAAATAGGTTATGGTACAACTGTACATTGGAGCAAGAACAGCTGTACCAGGGAATGAAGAAGTTCTCTGTGTACTGAAATGGAAAGAGTCCTGGGATAGATTTCCTGCTCAGTGAAAAAGTAAGGTGTCCAGTAGAGGCTATGAAAACCATAGATGAACACCCAGTGATTTCTGTGCCAAGAACTCTTCATTGACACTCTGTTTCCTGCGTCAGTGCATTGTTATCAGCGGAGAAAGCGGCTCAGGGAAGACGGAAAGTGCCCACCTGATTGTTCAGCATCTGACTTTCTTGGGAAAGGTATTGACCTACCTATTTTGTGTAACCTGGCTAGAAGTTCCTGCAGAGCAACTGCATATTTTATAAATGATGGAAGTACCGTTTTTTATTAGAAGTTACATAAAAACATTTTATCTTTTTTATGTTCACCTCCTGATAGCTAGACCTCTTCAGATGTCAGCATGCCATCCTTATTTCACATAGTAAGGAAAATAATGCCAGCACGAATTTACTAGATTGTTACCAATTAATTTTTCATGTTTTCACTGTAATAGAAACATTTAGCCATTAAGTAGTGAGAGTAGTTAAACACTACGGATAGGATCAGGCAGAGCTGCTATGGTGATTGAGGGGCTGGAAAAATGGAAAAATTAACAGTGAAGAAATGAGTGGAAAATCAATCTAGTAGTTACTTCTACTCAGAATTAGTGTACTACGTGATCAAGAAAGAATTTAAGGAATACAATTTATAGATGAGGTTTGTGGGAGATGATAATGGATGACTGAGAAAGTTATGAGATTTCTCCATTTAAAATTCTTTCTAAACTATTTAGCATTTTACCTGTCAAGGATTTCAAATGAAGTGCAGCAAGATTTAGAAATTGCTGCTCTGATCTAGCTGAATCTGATTCATACACACCTGGTGAGTTGCTCATTTGAGAAAATGAGGCTGGCAGTTAATTGCCAATTTCCCCAAATAGAGAAGGAAAAGGGCACTGTGAACATTGATGGCAAGGTGGGGAGTACCTAGCATTTTTGCTGGGGTCACCTTTTTTTTCTTTTTGTTTTTTGGTGCCCAGGATCAAACTTGGGTCCTGCGCTTGCACAGCAGGCGGCGAAACCACTGAGCTAAATCCCCGGCCCTGGGGTCACCTTTCATAGGCATCTCTTGTCTGTTCTCTGTTTGGCACAGGCCAACAATCAGACCTTGCGAGAGAAAATTCTACAAGTCAACTCCCTGGTGGAGGCCTTTGGGAATGCATGTACTGCAATCAATGACAACTCGAGCCGTTTTGGAAAATACCTCGAAATGATGTTTACACCAACTGGAGCTGTGATGGGGGCAAAAATCTCTGAATATCTCCTTGAAAAATCCAGAGTCATTAAACAGGCAGTGTGAGTGTACTGCTTTATCACTCTGTTTTTGCTCTGCATTATAAACTTGGAGGCTTTGGGAATTTCCATGGTTCCGTTTGCATCCTTGTTCTTTAGTATTCTCCCTACCCCTATCTCCAGGATCCCCAAGAGCAAGGAATTATTTAAACAAAGGACCAGTGGTGTGCTTTTATCTAAAAGATGTTACAGGGCAGAGTACAAAGCGTTAGGGGCAGAAGTGCGTTTGGAATAGACATGCTTGTTTCATCTGAGATGGTTGATCAGGTAGAATTTAATAGTCTTCCAGATACTTTTAAAAAATCATTGAATCTCTTAAAATTGAACCTATCTATAAAAAAATCACTGAGAATATTCAACGTTAATTTTTCCTAAATGAAGAGAGGAAAAACAAAAGTATTCTGTTTTAAGGAGAGCAGTACATTGATAGGTAAAGCATAGACTTTCTGTGGGTTCACATACTGGCTGTGACACTGTGTGACCTCGGGCATGTCACAAACTCTTTCTGTGCCTCATATGTGAAATGGAGATGCAACCAGTGCTGACTTCATGGGTGTGTCATAGGATCAGTGAGTTCATGTATATAAACTCACTCATAAGAACGCCTGGTATGGCACACTCTGTCAGAGTGTAAGCCACTTGTCCTATTATGTGTTACTGCAGGACACCAGAGTTCCTCGGGAGCATGGCTCCATACATACATAGCCATGCATTATTCAGTACCTGCCATATGCTGGGGTTGCAAGAGGAAACAAAGTAGACAAGGTTCCTGGGTTCATGGAGCTTGGATTGTGGTGGCTGAGGAGAGATGGGAGGATTACTGTGTTAAAGGAATAAATGAAATGTAGTGAAAATGTGTTAAGTGCCAGGAAGCAAGGTAAGGTGCTAGGAAAGTGAAAGAGGAGAAGGGGAGAGCCATGACCTAGTGCAGGAGGAAAGAGAGGCTTCCTGGGTAGGAGATGTTTCATCTGAGAGCCAAGGATCACTGTAAGTCAGCCAACAAGGTGGAACAGAAGTGAGGAGTGAAGGAGTGGCATAGATGAGACTGAGACCAGATCATACAGAGCTTTGGAGCCAGGCCGAGGATTTCAGACCTTTTTCTAAGGACATGGAGATGTGGGACATGGGAGTCACTAAACCCAACATACATTTGGAGACACTAACATAGCTTCAGTGGGCCAGCAGAGAGGAGAGAGAGAGAGAGAGAGAGAGAGAGAGAGAGAGAGAGAGAGAAGATGAATACATATGATATATATGAGAATACTGTGGCCTGGATAAGGTGGTAGAGCAGAGAGGGAGAGGTGGATGAGTAGTCTGGGGCTACTTGGCATGCAGACTCCACAGGCCCAGGTCTGGCTTAGGAACCCAAGTGCCAGAGTGTGGCTCAGTGGTAGAGAACTTGTCTCTCATATTTGAGGACCTGGCTTGCATTCCCAGCACTGCCAGACAAAAACAAAGCCTAAGCATCTTCCCCTACCATGCATTAACAGTGTCTTCACACAGTGGAGACAGGTAGGAACAATTGACAAATGAGTGAAAAGATTAGAGAGAGGGGTTTACACTTTCCTGCCATTTCTCACACATTTGTTCACTCAACTAAAAATGTATTTTTTACTAATCTTTATTTTTTTAAAATAAATTTTATTGCATACATTTGAGGGACACCATATGATGTTATGGGATACAGCCATAGATAGTAAAAAAATTACTGTTCAACTGTCAGAAGCTAACACTGTCACACAGACCAGGCACTTATCTGAAAGAACCTATCTGGAAGGAAACTGGGCAGGGTGGCCTACAAGAGGTAGAAGCAGGAGACTAAGGAGACTGAGGGATAACACTTTGGTCCCTGAAAGCATACTGAGGTGGGAAATCGCAGACCTCAGTTATGGACCAATTCCCCTCCCTCGCCTGCTAGACATCCTGCAAGTCACTTCCTGCCTGGGGCTCCAGGACATTAGATGACTTGGCTCATGTCTTTCCTCATAGTCTCTGAAGCAGCAGGAGCTATAAACAGAGGCATGCAGCACAGGTGCTGGGTGTAGCGGCTGGGATGAAAGGGTCTCTAATATATGTAACCTGAGCTGTTACCAGTTCCATTCTGTAAAACCTCCTTCTGTTCACAGTAAAGATAAGTGTGTTTAATAATGTAAATTGTGATGATTATTATATGAATTGTATCACTATTACTATTCTATAGTTGGGATGAAGCATATTTAATTGCTTGAAAGTACAAATTTTCTATGGAATAATATTTTTGCACAGAAAGGAAATGATATAAATTACTTCAAAGTGGGGCAACCCAGAAGATAGTATTAATAAAGTCTCTTCTTTCTTTCCTCAGGGGAGAGAAAAACTTTCACATATTTTACTATATTTATGCTGGTCTTTCTCACCAACGGAAACTTTCTGAATTCAGACTTCCTGAGGAAAAGCCTCCTAGGTAAGTGTCAGTAGTTTTGCTTCTTAATTTCAAATGAATGTGCAATTAGCAGTTGACAAATTGAGAGGAAAAATGGAGCTGGTTTCCTAACTGGAAACTCATAGTGTATTTAGCTTAAATATGGAGGATGAGATGGCAGGAACCACATTTCACCATTTGGATTTTGTAGATTGTTCAAAAACTTGACTGCACCTATTTTATTCAGCCATGTGCACTATTGTCCGTCCAGTATCAGACTGTAGAAGAGGAGCCCAGATGGCACCTGTTCTGGCATTTGAGGTGCTATTTCCAAGTCAGTGGTCATTGTGTTTGGTGACAGGTACATAGCTGATGGCACCGGGAGAGTCATGCACGATATAACTTCCAAGGAGTCTTATAGAAGACAATTTGAAGCAATTCAGCATTGCTTCAGGATTATCGGGTTCACTGAGAAGGTAAGTGATTGTCAAGAGGGAAAGAAATTCATATATTAATATTCTTAAGTGAATGTGAGTGAAGATGTGGATATTCTACCTTGGAGGAATTTGGTGATACTGGGGATTGAACCCAGAGCCTTCACAGTGAGCTACGTCCCCAGCCCCTACCTCCTTTTTTTCATTTTGAGACAGGTTAATTGAGACTTGAATTTGCCATTCTCCTGCCTCAGCCTTCCAGAGGCTAGTGGATATGTACTTTTCAAATGCCTTGTTGGTTCTGTAATAAGGTTTTGCTATTCAAAATGTGGTCCAGGGCTGGGGATTTAGCTCAGTGGTTCCAGCGCCTGCCTCCCAAGCACAAGGTCTGGAGTTTGATCCCTGGTACCAAAAACAAAGCAAAACAAAACAAAATGTGGTCCAAAGACCAGAAGTTTTATCATTGCCTGAAAGCTTGTTCAAAATGCAGACTCTCAGGTCCATCCAAGAATGACTGAAAGCAGAATGCACATTGTAGCAAGGTGCCCAGGTGAACATAGAGTAGCAGTGCTGCTGTAGGGATCATGAACTAACATTATTATCAATTCACTATGACTGTAATTACAAACACCCGAAAATACTGTCCTTCTCCGAATTGGGTTTCAATCCATAAAGTGAACTATGTATAGGAGTACAGAATTCTGTAGGTTATGTCCAAGCCATAGAAATATTTTATACAAGTAGCTCTTTGTACACCAAGACAAATGAATTGAACCCTTCAACTTTCATGCCGTCACGTCCTTCTTCATGGCACACAATTGCACATCATTAGCTATAGCTCTAAATATTATACTACCTTCATCGCACTAGATACAGGCTATTAAATATATGCTTGTGGTGACAGACAATATTTACAACCCTAGGCTCACATACTATTCTGTGATACATTATGTCATAGTTTCTGGGCTTCATGCCATCAGTTTTGCAAAATATATAGTTTCTTTTGCTTTTCCAACAAAGGGGGTGAATGATTAGAAGGTAAGTAAAAGTGTTAAATCTTAAGGGATTAGATTAAAAACACTCCAGTTACCTTGGGACAGCCACTCCGGATAAAGAATTGCTTCTGTAATCCAAAGAGTTTGGCTAGCCTTTCACTCCGCATCATGGTTGGTTTTAGTCATAATAATACCTTTCTTTTTTCTAGCCAGCTGTGACTTTTCCCTGTTGGCCTCCCACAGATTTTAAACTGACAGACAGTGGAAAATCCCAAAGGTCAGATAAAAATAGAAATATATTTCCCTTGGCTCCTTAGAGAAGAGCAATTAAACAGGTTCCAGCACTGTTAAAAAGACCTTTATGGTTATTAACTTACAGAGCTGGTTTTTATCAAATGTGTCACCAGAAGAGTCAAAGCATGGTAAGGATAGCAATAGAGCCATTAAACGTTACATGGGTCATGCCAAAGTGTTCAGGGTGTGCTTCCTTCATAGGGCAGGAGAACCATAGTAAAGTTAGCCCACAAGGGTGATGGTATTTTGCTTTCAATGAAAACAAAGATGGTTATAGAATGCTGTGAAGAGATAGGACCAAGCTCTAGAAGGAAGCATACAGTAGTGCTATTATAATCATAAAAATACACTGCTAGTATTAATAAAACAGATACTATGCATTTTAAGATAAAATCAAAAACAAAGAAATTAAATATATTAAGTATATGTCTTTGAAATAAGCTACCCCTAGCCCCTGTGGGGAAAAAAGTACAGAATAAATGAGTGAGTGACTGCACAAATGAACATGAAAGGAAAGAAATGAAAAGGTTGGTGAAGATTCATTTGCACCTGGTCTGGACTGTTTAATGGCTAACCAGAGCTTATGGTATGTCTATGTGGCTATCTTCACTGTGTCCCACCTTAATTCATACTGAAAATAAACCAACTTATGTCGGTTAGCAACCTTGGAAATGGAACAAAGAGTCTGGATCTTGTCTTTCTGATCCAACATTTTGTGCTTATTTCTCTGCAGACAACCTGTTTTACTAAATTAACTCAGTTCACTTTGTGTTTATAAACTCAGAGGATGCCAGGGATGTAGCAAGCGCAAGGTCCTGAGTTCGATCCCTGGTACTGGAAAAAAAAAAGGAGGAGATAAACAAACAAATAAATAAACTCGCAGGAATGTGACTAAATTCAGAAAGCTTTGGTTGAAGTCAGGCAGTAGATGCCAAATGGCTGATGTAACGGAACTTTCTCTTAAACTTTTCTGGCAGACATTTCTACACAGAGCTTAAATGAACTGGTCAGTTCAATCAAAATTTACTCTTCCTGCCCTTTCTTAGAAGATCTTAGTTCTCTGCAGGAATCCTTTAAGTTTTTCTCAAACTTAAAGGATTTTTCTCAAATTTCCAGCAAAACTATGAGTAGCAAACTTTAGTATGGACTCAGGAGGATAATTTTAATTCCAAGACAACAGCCAAAAGTATCTAAAGCAATACTTAACTCTGAGTCTGTTATAAAGAAAATTCCCTGGTGATGGAGACTTCCACTAATGATTATGGTTCCTTTTGAGAGGCTCAAGGAATTATACCAAAATCCTCTTGTGAAGATCAGTATTTTTCAGTTTCTATGTCTAGAGTCAAACCATACTGATTTTGTTTAATATTGTACTTGTCTTGCAGATATAGGACTTGTATATCAAATAAGTCAAGTTTCAAATGACTTACACACTATTTGATACTATATAAAAACTACACAATGAAGTGCTACTGTACTATAAAGAAGGATAAATCTGAGTCATTTGTAGGAAAGTGGGTGCACCTTAAGATCATAATATTAAGTGAAATAAATCAGACATATGAGCTTAAATATCACATGATTTCTCTTATATGAGAAATCCAAAGCATAAGTAATTAATGGGCAAAATAAAAGACAGATAATAGAAAACAGCGAGTAGATGTTTTTCACAAAGGGAAAGGGTACCAAGAGATAGAGAAGGGGATAGGAGGAGAGGGGAAGGGGTTGAAAAAGAGAAGATGTGTTATATACATGTGGTAGTCATTGTGTACTGAAAACCTGTACTAATAAAAATAAAAATCTAATAGGAAAAAGACGGAAAAGACCTTTTTGGTAAATGATCTACGTGATGGTCAAGATTGGACATATACTGCAGATCCATGGATGCAGATACCATTAACTTTTTTTAATACAGTGGGGTTGAACCCAGCTCTATCATTGAGCTACATCCCCAGTGCTTTTTATTTTACTTTTTGAGGTAGGGTCCCACTAAGTAGCCCAGGTTGGCCTCCCAAATGGCTGATATTACAGGTGTGTGTCACTGTGCTCAGTACCACTGACTTTTAAGATGTCAAACGTTGGGAACCTCTGTGGAGGGGCAAATGAGGGGCTAGAATAGGGCTCCTGGTGAGAACACCTTCAGTTGGTCCTAATGCAGTGCTTAGGGCAGAACTAGTGTAAGACTGGAGACCTCCATACAGGAGAGGAGGCATAGTGAGACTGGAAGAGGAGGTAAACTCCTAGAGAGTCGAAGGGAGAGAATGACCTGAGATGCCTGCAAACCAGGCCAGGAAGAATTTCAGTAAATTAGCCCAGGATCTTTTTAACTTTCAACTTGGCCTCAACACTACCTAGGAAATGCCTACACCAGAAAGAAATTGCCTCCAAGAAAGAGAAAAGAATCAAGCCATGCATCTTGGGTGGGCTTTGGTGGAGAAAGTCTCCCCCATCTTTGGCTGACTGGTGAGGAGACTGCATTTGTACTCATCAACAGTGGACTGATAGGACCCAAACAGAGACTTGTCAGTCTTCTGGATAATATTTCTTATTCTGAATGAGTTTATTTCATTTTATATAGAAAGTTTGAAGCTGATAGGAAATGAAAAGAGACAGCAACACTGAAAGATTCTATAGGAAATGCAGAGACTCCAGAAAAGGATCCATAGTTGAAGATGCATAATAAGGAAGTGAAAAGGCTTCCTCAGGCTATAGTGAGAAATGAAGAGAAATTTGATCAAGAGGTTTCGGGGAGGGGCCAGAGATTTAGCTCAGTGGTTTCGTTGCCTGCTGAGCAAGCTCAAGGACCTGAGTTTGATCCCTGGTACCAAAAAAAAAAAAAAAAAAAAAAAAAAAAGAGGTTTGGGGGAGGGAGGAGTCATCCTACAGATGGACATGCAACAGACTGAGCTGTACCATTACTGTAGGTGGTGTTTTGAAGTGAACAGAGTGGTGCATGTAGGTTCATGCATCAGAAAGGAAGAAGTGATTTATTCATGGTAGGGCTAAAGAATCATGTTGGGGAGTAGCCCAGAAATGTAGCATGGGGAGTGCATGAAGGCTAATAACTCTTGATGAGGAGGTGTTGAATATCATCTCTCTACTTCCCCGCACAGAACCAAGGAAGGAGCCCCATGCTGCCTTTAGCTTCAGTGATTCACACTATATTTGAATGTAAAAGTTTTTCCTCAAGGTCCTCAGTTTAGTTTTCCACTTTTGTTGGTGGGCTGGGCATTATGTTGAAGAAGATGTTGCTAGAGAAGCAACAAGGTGAGATGCTAGTCTCATAGGCCTGGTCTTTAACAACCATTTTTTTCCTGGAGGCTCCCAGTGGCAAAATACTTAGAACCCTTATTTTGAGAGATTTCATGGCTTGTACTGTAATACATGAAGGGGCTGTGTGTGTTTTAATCAGAGGAAGTGCATTTTCCCCCGAGTGTGGAAAGTTTCGGATGCCCTCCAGAGGTAACTGGAGATAGATGCACCAGGTACAGAACTCACTCCTAGGCAATATCTGTTTCATCCTTTCTGTGGGATCTGCCTCTGTGAAGAGTAGCGTGATGCATTCAGCAAGGCTCGCGCCATATTGATCAGGGTAATGAGGTGCTGTCATGTTAAATCCAGGCAAGTCTCAGAAAACTCATTTGGTAAATGTTCTCCTTAGCCAGTTTTAAGTTGTGTGATTAAACAGTGATTCTTGAAGTCAGAAACATGACATCTTGCCTTTAATTTAGAAGCTGGAAGAACAGTATCTACAGTAGAAGCCCCACTTAGAATTCTCATTTGTCTTTGTAGTATTAGCAGGTGTCCAGTAGGTGTCACTATTCCTGCCTGTGTTCCTTGGCTTTGCTGAGTAATGTTTAAGGAAGGCTCAATTTGGATGCAATACTTTATCAGTGGTCTAATGACACCTCCTATTAGTTTGCTGCTGTGTATAGCACTAAATCAAATAACCTGCCAAAGTATTTTTCGTGGAAGTATTTTTCTCTATAAGCATAATGCAGAAACTCCCTGGCTAGATATTTCATTGTTTCACAGATGGAAAATATAACTTTTTTTTTCTCTACTAGAGATTGAACCGAGGAGTTCATATACACTAAGCAAGTGCTCTACCATTGAGCTACACCCCCACCCCTTTTTATTTTATTTTTGAGACAGTGTCTTCCTAAATTTCCCAGGGGGCCTTGAACTTGGGATCCTCCTGCCTGAGCCTCCCGAGTGTAGTTACAGTTGTGCACCACCACACCCAACTCAGAACGTGTATATTTTTAAAAACTAATAAATTTTGTTTTTAAAGCATTAATACTGCTTGTATATTCAACTTTCAATATAAAAATAAGACTTAGTTAAGCTGAATTGCTTTTGTTCACAATTTTCTCACCAAATATGTGGATCCTCTTACCCCAACAGCTAACTCTCTGGTACCAGCTCAGCATCCTACAACTCAGTGCAATTCTCTCTACCTGGAGTTAGCATCAGATCCCACAGTAAGGGCTCAGTCCCACAAGCCTGACCCTCTCCAACATCAGGTGCGAGTCTCAGGCCTCCTGTACTTCTTACCGATGCATTATAAATCGGGGGTTACCATGACCCACTTTCTGGATTTGATAATTTGTATAATGGCTCACAGAACTCAAGAAGGCTTGCTACTTACAGTTACAGATTTATTATAAAGGATATAACTAAGAAATAACCACAAGGAAAGACTGCATAGGGCAGCAGGGGCTCTGAGCCTCCATCCCTCTGGGCACACCACCCTCCCTTCAGCCCCCAGTGGTCACCAACCTGGGAAACCCCTGTATCCCATTGGTTAGTGATTGTTATGGAGGCTCCATTACATGTGCATGATGATTGATTACTGGCTATTGGTGACTAGCTCAACCTCTATTCCCTCTCCCCTGCCCAGAATTTGGTGGGGGGATGAAAATTTCAGCCCTCTAGTTACATGATTGGTTTCTCAACCAGGTGGCTTCCCCACCCCTACTCATCTATCTAGAGGCCCAGTTTGAGCCACCTTATTAGCATAAACTCAGGAGTGGTTGAAAGGCACTTGTTACCAGGAACAAGACTCTTATCACCCAGACAATTACAAGGATTTTAGAAGCTCTTGTGTCAGGAGCTGGGGACAAAAGCCAAATATATATATTTCTTATTATATCACAGACAATTTCTAGTGAGCCTTTCAAAATATTTCCTGACTTCATTCATAACCCAGATTCATCATGTAGATTTGAGATGTTCTAGCCGTCCATCAGTGTATGCCCTCCCAAATATTTCATAAAAGCTATACTCCAAAGAGATGAAGGACCGAGGTATAGCGGCACATGCCTGGAATTCCAACACTCCATGAAGCTGATGCACAAGAATGGGAAGTTCAAGCCCAGCATGGCAACTTAGCAAGACCCTGTCTCAAAATAAAAAATAAAAAGGGCTGGGGATGTACCTCAGTGTGAAGACACTCGACTCAGTCCTCAGTATCACTGAGGGAGGGAGGAAGGGAAGGAGGAAGGCAGAGAGGGGAAAGGGGAGAGAGAGAGCCAGGGTGGGGGAATCTCTTCTCCTGCCTTTTTTTTTGTACCAGGGATCAAACTTGGGATCTTGTGTTTGCAAGGCAGGTGGCGGAACCACTGAGCTAAATCCCCAGGCCTCTTCTCTTGCTTTTAAAAAAATTGGGAGCTGGTATTAGGGCAAAAGGCTAAAAAATGGTATAAGAACAAAGAAGATAAGTTTCCTCTTTTTTAGCACATGTGCTGCCAAAGAGAGCACAACGGGCTCCCTCTTCACTCCTTGTGTCCACCATTGGTCTGAAACCCTTGTCAGTGGCATGCTGGAGGCTGGGCTCCTGAAAACAAGGAGGCCTGGTTGCTCCCATAGGGCCTGAGCTAGAAGAGACCCACATTCTTGTTTTTTTTTCTTGGTACTGGGGATCAAACTCAGGACCTTGCACTTGTGAGGCAGATGCGCCACCACTGAGCTAAATCCCTGGCCCAAGAAACCCACATTCTTCTGCTTGAACCATTGTTAAAATTTAGTTACACAGAGGTCAGGGATTTAGCTCAGTGGCACCACGCCTGCCTCACAAGCCCAAGGTCCTGAGTTCAATCCCAGGTACCAAAAAAAAAAAAAAAAATTTAGTTACATAGCACCCTTGAGTGCAAAGGATGTTGGGAAATTTGTGTGTGTCCAGAAAATAGGAGCCAATGGACTTAGTGGACAACTAGCAGTTTATGCCACAGTGCTAGTCCCTGGTTGGTTTCATTGGCAATGACCTTCAAACATGGTTCTTGGTGTCCTTTTCAGGAAGTGCACTCAGTGTACAGAATTCTGGCTGGGATTTTGAACATCGGGAACATTGAGTTTGCAGCTATTTCCTCTCAACACCAAACTGATAAGAGTGAGGTGCCCAATTCAGAAGCTTTGGAAAATGGTAATTATTTTATGTTTGAGTATTGTGTTGCCAAAGTACACATACATGTTTCTTTCACTTTGGTAGTTTTTGAAGAATCTGTAACATATAATGCAGCTCTTGCTGATCCCTGTATTGGCTCTGGATGTTTTCACTAATATTTCCTAGAAGTCCCTGTGGCCTATTGGTGTTGCTTCCACAAGCTGCAAATGGGGGTTCTGCAGAAAAGAACTCCATGGCAGGAAACTCTGGGCAGTGGTTCTCAACCTTGGCTGCTGTTGAGAATCCTCTGCACATTTTTGAAAAAAAAAAATATAGGTGGTTGAGTTCACTGACTTAGAATTGGCTGCAGAGGAAGCAGACACCTATTTATTCTTAAAGTTTCAACCATTATTATGGTGGCACAAAGAATGAGAATTCTTAGTTATAAAAAGGAAACTGATTTAAATAGGGTAAAAACCTTTCTGGGTTAAACTGCAGCACTTTAAAAAAATCATCATTGTAGCTCTTTGTTCTGCAGTGAACTAAAAGATTAATTATTCTACATGAGGTGACAATTAAATTTTGTATCTTACAACCAGGAATCCCCCCTCCTAATGAAGAACAAGGTTGGCAAAGCAGAGGGTATTCCCTCCTGTTAATGAGCTGAATCAAAATTACTCAGTTATCCTCATTGACTGGGTCCTCTCCTGAATAAGAACAGGACTCTGTATGAGCCCAGCTCTCTGGCTAACTCTTGCCTAACCTGAATCACATTAATTTTCTACCAAGAATGGAATCAAACTGCTGCACTTTGTAGGACCTTCAATATATTAATGCACTGTACTTCATGACTAAGAGAAGAATCTTGTCTGTAGCTATTGCTCCAACTTACTTGATAGAAGGCCACCCCTCCAACTCTTTTTTCACCAAACACCTATGAAGAGCCTTCAGATCAGTTTGGGAGCTTCATGGGGTTAAGGCCTTTGCTTGTTTATCTTGACTTGAAGTGCCTAGGACAGAACTTGGAACATAGTAGATGTTAAATAAATGTTGGTTGAACAACAGAATGAAGGGTTGGCCACTTTCCATACTGTCGTCCTTATTTTTTTGTTCCAGCTGCTTTTGTTCTCTGCATCAGCCCAGAGGAGCTGCAGGAGGCCCTCACCTCCCACTGTGTGGTCACCAGGGGTGAAACCATCGTCCGTGCCAACACTGTGGACAGAGCAGCCGATGTCCGGGACGCCATGTCCAAAGCCCTGTACGGGAGACTCTTCAGCTGGATTGTGAATCGCATCAACACACTCCTGCAGCCAGACAGAAGCATATGGCAAGTTCCCCAGGGAAGCATGGGTTTCAGGAGGCCTGTCTTCAACCCACTGTCTCTGAAGGTTTATAAGAGGGAGCGTTTGATCCTCCCTGGGGTTTTCTTTAGCACAGCTCTCAGGCTTTCTCCTTTAAAAGACTCCTGAGGATCCAGGAGAGCTGAAGTGTTTAATACCTGAGAGGCGAGTGATTGATGAAGCCATTCAAGCAGAGCATTTAAGAGAGTAGGCTCAGCTGGGAGCTGGACAAACCAGGTCCACCCCAAGCTCTACAGCTTAATCAGCTGCATGCTCTGAGTCACACATTTCCCATCTGCAAAAGGAGGATAAAATGTCCTCCTCATGGTGATTTTAGAATCAAGTGAGACATTTTGTGAAAAGTTTTAAATCATAGTATCTTACATTATTAACTACTTTTCCCCCTAAGCCTTAGTGGTTTCCTACATGGAGGCGGGGGGGGGATCGACACCGGGGAGTGATGTCACAATTCTAAACGGAGTGCTGCCCCAGTTAAGCTTTGTGGGTAGGTAGATGGGAGAGTGCAGAAGTGATAGCCCCTTCATGTATTCTGTATAGGAGCTCCAAAGTAAGGTTTTAAAGGATCCTACTGTTCAATATACATATTTAAAATACCCAAGGAACAAATTCTGTAAGACACAAACTCTTGCCTTGGAGGTGGTAGGGCGTGCCTTTCACACCTGAGTTGATGGACATTCTCGGGCACATGTGTTATCATCTTGGGATGGATGATTCTTCCCCTAAAAATTTGTGTTCATCTTTCCCATGCAGTAGTGCAGACCGTGGAATGAATGTGGGGATCTTGGATATTTTTGGGTTTGAGAATTTTCAGAGAAATTCCTTTGAGCAGCTCTGCATAAACATCGCCAATGAGCAAATCCAGTACTATTTCAATCAGCACGTGTTTGCTCTTGAGCAGGTAAGAGTGAAATCTGAAGTTACTGAACCTGACGGGGAAGGGTGTCTCTAAGCTGCCCGAAATTTGAAGTGAAAACCCTGTCATTTAGACTAACAGGTAAAAGACTTGAGGAACCTGCTATAGTGCTGCATGCTTGTGATCCCAGCACTCTGGGAGGCCAAGGCAGGAGAATTACAAGTTTGAGCCCAGCTTGGGGAACTTAGTGACCTAGAGGGTCTGTGTATCAAAATAAAAAAATAAAAGAAATAAAAAGGACTGGGGCTATAGCTCAGTGCAAAGGCTTAATCTTCAGTACAAAGAAAAAAGAGAGAGAGAGACTATAGGAAAACCACTGGTGAGATGGTCTTGTCAAAAATAAACAACCAGGGCTGGGGATTTAGCTCAGTGGTGCTGCACCTGCCTCAAAAGTGCAAGGTCCTGAGTTCAATCCCCGGTACCTCAAAAAAGGGAAAATAAATAAATAAATAAACAACCAGTCTAAATTTACTCTGAAAAAAAAAGTCTTAATTTCTGAGAAATGGTATATTTCCTCACTTGAGTGGAGCTGGTGACATGCCAATTCTTTAAATCTTGCTTTGAGACTCATTCTTTCATGCGTATTGCTCAAAATGCTTCATTCTCTTCTACTTTAACTCAACATGTCTATGATGATATCCAAAATGACACAAGATGATGCTGAATTCAGGATATGAGATCTTAGCACCTGTGTGGGTCATGCCTGTCTCCCCTGTCCTTTGTACCAGACTGCCCAGGGACTGGATGGCATGTCCAAGAGGGAGCAAGACATGATCTTGGATTTCTAGAAATGAAGGCCTTGCCCATGTGGGCCCAGTGGTCAATGCAGGATGTTGAAAAGCTGGGGGACCAAGCGCTAGAGGCCTTTCTCCTGCAGCAGCACAGCTCACACCACCCTAACCCTTACATAAACCCCAAGTCTTTTATGTGAAAGAGACGTAACAACTGACATTCCAACCAAGCCCTGTGGGTGCAGGGATAGTTGTTTTAATGTAGTGGTAAAGACACACAAACTGTATACAGCAACTAGATAAAGGCAAAGACACTGAGTCAGTCCTGGTTTTATCATGGGAGCTGGAGAAATCTGGAGCACAATCCTCCCTCATCACCTTGCACAAAATTCTACCTTGTTTCTATCCAAGTTCCTTCCAGCTGCAGTTTTCTTTCCCTAAATGATTCCCTGGAGAATATAAATGTCTGCTTTCTTCCTGGTGTAAGGTATATTTGCCACCAAAATAATTTTTTTCACGTCTCTCCTTTCCTGCATCGGTTTCTAAATTATGAGTTCCCAGGTCTGTTTAGGAGACTGCTTTTGCTCGCTTGAGCTACCTATTGGAGGCCCCCAAGAAGTCCCACATAAACACCCAGCTTCAGCAGCACGATACACAGCTGATCCCTCTACTATGTACAGAAAACACAGCCTCTTTTCCACACACATCCAAGGTTTGCAGACCCAGGAAGTCCAGGCCAAAGTGTCCTGGGGATAGGGAGGTCAGCTTCAGGCTGGAGAGAGTCACGCTCGCTCCGTTTCCCTCCAGATGGAGTATCAGAATGAGGGGATCGACACCATCCCTGTGGAGTACGACGACAATCGCCCACTCCTGGACATGTTCCTCCAGAAACCCCTGGGCCTGCTTGCACTTTTGGATGAGGAAAGTCGGTTTCCCCAAGCAACAAACCAGACCCTGGTTGGTAGGTACCTTTTTGGAAAAAAAAAAGAGGCACATAACTGGGAACAGAACTTGGTTCCTGTCATCAAATGAATATGCTTTAATGACTTTACCCTGTGTAGTTTGGCTACCTGGTGAGTTGTAAAGTATAGAAACTGTTTTCAATTGAATTGTAATGTTCTGGTAGAATTTGTGTCTTAAAGTCAACCGTAACCATTCTTGAATCTTTCCATTGTTTTCATCTCCCCACCCACCTCTAGTCCTAGGCAGTGCAGACGCCTTTTCCAGTCTCTGGCTTTCCGACTCATATTTCCCCTTTAGACATCCCAACCAGTTTAGTCTTCCTAAGCCACCTTTTCCTTACGTTACAGGTGTCTACAGGATGAAGAGAGGGCAACTCCTCCTGGCATCAAAGGTCCTCTCTTCTTTCCCCCCTGTTCTCTTGACTCCTCTTTCATCTGCAGTCATTAGTTTTGCACTAGCAAGCATTGCTCCTGACCTAGACTGTGAGAAGCCTTAGGTTACAGGGCCCCATCCTAATGTCTCTTTAGTACTTATCAGGGACCTCATGTTACTGGCTAGCATGGATTCTTAGCCACACGTAAGATGAAAAGTCAGACATGGGCCAGTTTGTGTGCTGCTTCTCCATTGCTGAGGACTGTCACCATTATCTTCCCTCTTTTTCAAGGGCTTCTAAAGGGGCAGGTCCCTTCTAAAGGAGAAGCCTTCTTAGATCCTTACCAATATGCTGAGAATTCTTGCTCATTTCATATAGAAATCATAAATTGGCAGAGGACAGCTCTTTTAGTGTTAACAGCCCCATCTTAGTGACTTTCTCATCACCGAAACACAATACCTGACACCCACAACTCTAAGGAGGAAAGGTTTATTTTGGCTCATGGTTTGTAGGGGTTTCAGTCCATAGTTGGCTGGTTCCAAGGCAGGGTGGCATGGCAGAGGAGCATCACAGGAGAAGCAGCTCATGGCAGGCAGGCAGGAAGGAAAGAGGGATCAAGGGAGGCAGAAGGGAGATAGACCCTTCCAGGCCACACCCCAGTGACCACTTCCTCCCAACATCACATTAGTCCATGGGTGAGTATCACACCCCATGATCCAATCACCCCCCTAAAGCCCTACCTATAAGCACAGGAGGCATTGTGGGGACATCTAGATATAAACCACAGCAAGCTCGGAGCTTTTAACAGTGGCTATCAGCACTTTCACTGTTAGTGGCCCTTCTTGCTTCTTGAACCACCAGGTCTCAGGAACTCTTCTTGCCTCTGGAGTTGGTGGCTCCCAGCAATTCTCTGTTGCTCACCACCATTCTCTGCTGCGAGCCTTCCTCAGTGTTATAAGCCCCAGTTGCTGGCAACTTTTGGCACCAACAGCCTTTGGTGTTACCAGCCCTTGCTGCTGGCAGCTTTTGATGCCAACAACTTTTGGCATGATCAACTTCAGCTGCTAGCTGCTTTCAGTGCCAGTGGCCTTTGGTGTTACCAGCTCTTAGTATACCAGTTCAGCATGCTCTAATGCAAGATACAAGTCATGAGTAGGCAAAAATAGGCCATTGAAGAGTCTTTCTAGGACCTATACTTCCGTGTGTGGACTGAAACCACTAAGGATATGGGGAGGTTGCTTACATAGGAAAAGATGGTGGGCTTGTGCATGTGCAGAATCAGACTTTGGTTACAGGTAGGAAGGGGCCCCTTGACCTAATTGAGAAGGGCTGCAGAGGGGTAGAATCATCCAGACAGGCTGCAGGGCAGAGTCCTCTGGGCTAGGTCTGTGCGTGATGCCTGCTGCAGCTCAAGCACGTATCTCTTGGAGTGGCTGTGGGAGCCTGATGTAGCTACGCTGGGGACGTTTGAGGTAGCAATGGAAGAAAAGCAAAAAGTAGCTCATGGGGAGCCTCAGGCCCTTCTCTCCTGTCAACTACGACAAAAACCAGTGTGAGCCAGGTACAGAAGGTTTCAACTTTATTCTTGGAAAATTGATTTGTGGGAGAGATTCACTTCTAGGAGGGGAAATTGTCACCCTCAGTGGTTTTCTTTTATATATGGTGTCACAATTTGCTAAGGTTAATTTGCTGTCTGCTTTCTGCGCCACATCCACGTGGTTTGAGAGCTACTTGACAGGGCCTGTGCTACCATTAGCATCCATGCTGGAGTTGTCAGAGGAAGCCAAACATGCCATCTTTGGGCACAGCTTGACATTGAACATGACACTGAAGAACTAAAGGAAGGCAAGATCGGACACACCCATCATGTAGGCGGTCTTTCCACACCTTTGTACATGCAGGGGTAACTTCAGGATGGTTTGAAAGCCTTTATTCTGGGTCTCTCGTGGCTCACGGAGCATGTCTTTGTTTGAAAAAGCAAACAATTCATATTGTAACTTTCCAACATGAAAATCCATACAGATAAGTTTGAAGATAATCTCCGTTGCAAGTACTTCTGGAGGCCCAAAGGAGTGGGGCTGTGCTTTGGCATTCAGCACTACGCTGGAAAGGTGAGGTGAGCGGCGTTGCACGACCTGAGTTTTGCAGAGTGAATGTCTGTATTGCCCTGCTGGTGCCACTCATGAAGCTGCTTGTAGATTTTGTTCTCCGTTTAACTATTCTTGAACCTCTAATCATAATTCTCAAACCATCTCAGTGCTGCTGCTCACTGAAAGCTGCCCTGGCATAGAAGCAGTATCTTGCTGGGGTGGCCCACAGAGTCGCCATCTGCTGCTCACCTGAAGGTTGGCCCCAAAATGACAGCTCTCTAGAGAGAAAACATATTATAGGCTTCACAGTGTTCTGCAGGGAATGTTGACATTCTAAAGTCATTTGGAGATGCCTGAGTAATGCAGGAGGGTTAACAGCACAGTGGGGCTCAGTTGCTAGCACCTTAAGCATACATCTACATGCCACCAGAAAGGTCCAGATGAAGGGGGAAGAATTTCACTGCACCGCCCGGATGTTAAGCTTTTACAACATTAACTGAAACTTCCACTTCTCATACATTATGTTTCAGTCTCAATTTCAAGTTCTGAAGCAGATTAGTGATTCACAGAATTCTCTAGTTCTGTAGCCAGAAACTTATTGCTCCTAAAACTCCCAGAGAAGCCAACTGAATTATGGCTAATTGGTTCCTGTGGGGTTTGTTGAGGCTCTGGATCCAGAAAATGGATAGGAATTTAATACAAGGCTTTGGAGATTATTTTGTCGATACAAGGTGTGTCAGAACTATATTTCATATTCATATCATAGTATTGAAACTAATTTTGCCTGACTAGATGTTGGCCAAAAGGTAATTCTCATAAAAGGAGAGGGGATTGTGTTTCTCTCCACATAGTATTTTATGCTATGTATTTTGGATCCTTGTTATAAATTGCAATCCAATTTTTGCCCCTAACTACTTCATTTGCCTTAACACTGGTATCTGACTGCATCTTAATGTCCTCCAAGTCTGAGATACTGAGCCTTACCCTGATCCACCACTCTGTTCTGTTTCCTATTGTCCTCCTCCTGTTCTCCTTTTACACCCATTTTTCCTACCCAGCTCTCTCTTCCTTCTTTCTTCTTCCTCCCCTTTATAGGATCCTGTATTAGCCACTTTCCTCATTGTTGAGACACAGTGTCCAACATCCACAACTTAAAGGATGAGAAGTTTATTGTTGGCTCACAATTTCAGAAGTTTCAGGCCATGATTGGCAGTCTCAAATGCAGAAACAGCATGGTAGAAGGGCCAGCTGTGAAAGAAAGCTGCTCATGTCATGTCAGCCAGGAAGCAGAGACAGAGAGAGAAGGGAGGTGCCAGAGAGGAAGATACACCCTTCTAGCTCACACTCCCAGTGACCTAGGCCCCATCTCCTAACAGCACACTCTGCTACAAACTCATCAGTGGATTAATCCACTGATGTACACAGTGCCCCTATGTTCTGGTCACCTTCCAAAAGCCCCATCTCTGAATGCATGAATGCATATTCCAAATCTAAACCATAACATTTTCCCCAGCCCCCAAAAGACTCATGCACATCTCTTTATTCAAAAAGCATTTAGTCCATCTCTAAGAGTTGCCAAAGTTTTAACAGTTTCAGCATTGCTGAAAAGTCCAAGTCTAAAGTCTCCTCTGAGACTGAAGGTAAACTTTTAGTTGTGAGCCCCTGTGAAAAATCAGAATATATACAATGGCACAGGGTAAGCATTCCCACTCCAAAAAGGAAAAATAGGGGGATAAAAAGGACTGGGACCAAAGCATGACTAAAACCCAGCAGGACAAACATTAAATCTTATGGTTCCATATCCAGCACTTGGGACAAGTTGCAGTGAGATATGAAGTCCAAAGGGCTTGGACTTAGTTCTATGGCATTACCAGTTGCAGCCTCATGGCTTCTCCTTAGGGTAACTTTCCTCACTGCCTGTGGCATTCTTAGTAGATGTTCCATATTTGTGGTGTCTCCAACTTCCTAAGGTCTTCACTGAACTTTTGGCTTTACTCTCACAGCTTCACATACTGCCTTCTCAGGCAGGAACATACAGCTTGGCTTCCCAGGCTTCTTCTGAAATCTGAGTGGTAGCCTCCCTGACACCAGAGCATTTGTATCCTGTATTCCTGTAAAACCAGCATGCCTGTAAAAAGACCCGGATAATGCCAAGGTACACCAGTTCAAGCAGTAGCCAAGCACTATTGGCCCAGACTGAAGAGATCTCTGAGTGCCTGGATGGCTGAACACTATGAAATGAATCCCAGGGAACAAGTTCCCTAGGCAGATCTTTTTAAACAGGAGGCCCTGGGGCTCTCTTCTCAAAGTAAGATCTTTTATTTTTGCATTTTTGAGCCTGTGAGGCTCAGGGTCTTGCAGATTCCTGAAGTGCCCTCAAAGCAACTTTTCTGTTATCCTGATGCAAAGCACTTGGCTTCTTTTTAATGCTAATCTTTTCAGCAACCATGATCACCAGTGCCCCAACTTTGCAGGCATTTTCTCTCTGATGAAATTTAGGTCTGGGGATTTAGCTCAGTGGTTCTGGCGCCTGCCTGGCAAGCACAAGGTCCCAAGTTCGATCCCCCAGTACCAGAAAAAAAAAAAAGAAAGAAATTGAGTACTTTTTAAATCTTTGAACTCTGCCATTTGCTCACTATAGATCTTGCTAGAAACATGAAGCTGTATCCATGCTACAGCCCAGATATTGAGTTTTCTTTTTCTTTTTTCTTTTGGTACAGGGGATCGAACTAGGGACCTTGCGCTTGTGAGGCAGGCACCGGAACCACTGAGCTAAATCCCCAGCCCCGATATTGAGTTTTCTTGAAATTTTTTCCACCATATTGATTAGTCTGTCTTCCTTAATCTCCGTCTCCTGCAGTCTCAGGAAATGAACAAAGTGTAGACAAATTTTCCACCAGAGCATAACATACATGGCCTGGAGTTGAATTGCTAAAGGAATCCTTATTCCCAACTAAAACCTCCTGAGATTGATCTTTTTTGTGTACATTACTGTCATCATTCTTTCTTCTGAGATCTGACCAGAATCTCCCATTAATCTCTGTCTGAAACATTCTAGGGCTCTAGCTGGCATCTCCAAACCTTTCTAAACTCCTCCTATGAACCAGTTCCAAAGGCTTCTGTACCACATAGTGAGGTAATCACAACAACAGCCCTACTCCCAGTATCAAAATCTCTTAGTCACTTTTCTGTTACTGAGATACAATACCCAATACCCACAGTTTAAGGGATGAGAGGTTTATCTTGGCTCACAGTTTCAGAAATTTCAGTCCGTGGTTGGCAGGCTCAAATGCCGAAACAGCATGGTGGAAGGGCCAATTGTGGAAGAAAGCTGCTTATGTCATGGGAGCCAGGAAGTAGAGAGTGAAGGGAGGAACCAAGGAGAGAGATACACCCTTCCAGGTAACATCCCCAATGACCACCCCTTCTGACAAAGCCCCACCTCCTAACAACATACTCAGTCATGAACTCATCAGTGGGTGAATCCACTGGTGAGTACAGTGCCCCCATGTTCCAATTACCTCTGAACACATGAAGCTTTGGGGAAACAGTCTAGATCTAAACCATAACAGATTTCTTTTTCTCTGGACTCTATATCCATTGCTGAATCCACCTGTCATTTAAAACTTATTTGTAATGCCTGCAATCCCAGCACTCTGGGAGAATGAAACAGGAAGATCCCAGGTTTGAGTCCAGCAAGAGAAACTTAGAGACTTAGCAAGACCCTGTCTCAAAATAAGAAATAAAAAAGCACTGAGAATGTGGCTCAGTGGTAGAGCACCCTTGGGTTCAAACCCAAGACTGAAAAAAAAACCCCAAAACTTATTTGTAGACAAGGGATTCTTATTTGTAAAAGGGATTCTTTGGGATATTCCTTAAAATTTCTCTGAGCTAGATCCCCTCTGTTCAGGCCAGAATCCTTGAGAGATTGCTCAGATCCCCTGAGTACACCTGACAGCTGTGAGAGTTTGCTGGTTATGAGAATGGAGCCCAGCTGCATAGGTTTGATGCCTGACTACCACTTACATTATTCAATCTCGTTTCAAGTCTCTGCCTGCCCACCAGTAAAATGAAGATAATAGTGTCTCCTTCATAGGGTGGATGCTTCTTACATAGTAAGTGTTCAATATATTTTAATAATTATTCTAATGTGAAATATCTTTGATAGGATCCTTTTCTTCAAAAACAACTGAACAAGAAGCTAAGTTGACCTGTCACAATTAAAACTTTCTCCCCTTGTCTGTTTTGCCTTCCTTTGTTTGTTTTTGTTCTCTCTTTTGAGACAAGGTCTCTCTTTGCAGTTCAAACTGGCCTTGAACTCACAGTGATCCTTCAACCTCAGCCTCCTGAGGGCTGGGATTACAGGTGTGTGCCACCATGCCTCCAGCGCCTTCCTTATCTGGTATCCTGTATTTTAAAATCTGTGTAAAGATGAATTTTACAACTTGCTGGTGTCTCCAGGATGGACAGTTACCTTGGTAACTTGTCATTTGCTGTTTATGTTGCAGGTATTATATGACGCTTCTGGGGTTCTTGAGAAAAACAGAGACACCCTCCCTGCTGATGTGGTTGTAGTCCTACGAACATCAGAAAACAAGCTTCTTCAACAACTCTTCTCAATCCCTTTGACCAAAACAGGTACCTGGGAACCCCTGGCAGTCTGGTCCTGATGCTTGTCGAGTTCAGGTCATGTTTCCAGTTAGGATCTAAATACTGCCATAGCCGTGCTCCTAACATTGAACTTCCTTAAGTAGGGTTAAGGGTCTAGATGAGTTCAGGAAAAGAAGAGTGACTGTTTCTTTTGTAATTTAACCACACAGTAGAAATGTGTGTACACTTTCCATAACATTAACTCTTAGACTTGTCATTTCCTTTGCCTGCCTCTTTTTCCTTCCATTTATAAAGCCATATATTATCATTAATTCATGTTAAGCATTCTAGGATAGTCTCAGTTTACCTAGAATTATTGGGAAGACTATTTCCACTCTTGTATGATTCCAAATGAAAAGTGTTGTGGACCAGTGGTCATCTAATCTCAGGGGTTGGCTGGTCCAACTTCCTGCTTAACTACTTCCTACTCACCCCCCTCTCACCCCACCCCACCACACTCCTAACCAAGCTGGAACACACCTGGCCTCACCTACTGACAGTCAACCTCTGTGTCACTGCTCCATCAGCCCTCAGGCCAGGAAGGAAGAAAGGGACTGGACTGGAGAACTTCCAGCCTTCGCTGTTTTGCCAAGTGGGTTCTACTTGAGTGGAACTCCTCTGATTTTCCTGGGCTTCTGCTGCTGTGGGCAGTCTTCTCAAAGCTCTGCTCTCAAGGACTTTGTGTCTGGAAACAGCTGTGATTATGCTTTTTTTTAAAAAAGAGATAGAAACCTCTTTACTATGATTTTCTTCTCACATTCCTCTTAAAACCATTGGTGCTGTTCTAGCACGGGACTGGCACATGCTAACAGAAAGTGACTGCCAGGTCTGTTTTTTGTTTTTTTTTTTCTTTTTTTTCCAGTACTGAGGATTGAACCCAGGGCCTTCTTACTGAGATACATCTCCAAAATAATTTTTTTTGAGACAGGGCCTTGCTAATTTGCCCAGGCTGGGCTCAAACTTGTGATCCTCTGGTTCAGCCCCCCAAGAATGCTGAGATTACAGGTGTGTGCCACTATGCCTGGCCCAAGTATGATTTTTAACAACATGCAGAGTAAAGAAAAGACTAAGGGAGAAAAAAAGCTACAACCTTTGCTTCATCTATTCTCAGGAGGAAGGTTGAAACCAGGCTCTTAACTTTCTTCAGATATGCTCCTGTAAACAAAGCTAGTAGTAGGCTGCCCATCAGAAGGCTGCTGCCAGCTTCCTCTGCAGATCCCCCTTGAGTACAGCAGGATTTAATTCACTATGTTCCCCTGGGAGATCTGGGCAGGTGTGGGCAGGGCTCGCCCGTGTTTCCCCACACTCCGGGGTACAGGCTCCTCCTCAGGCAACTCTGTGCAGAGGTAAAGACACAGCCATTGTAAATAGGAGGTGTACTTTCTCAAATAAAATCTGTCCAAATGACTCTTCAGCTGGCATTTACACTCTCTGTAAATGAGAGTAATGACTTGTCAAATCTGTTCTCAACTGGATTTTCAATCTGTGAATAAAAACAATTTCACATCCGGGGCCACAAGGTGGCGCTATGCAGAAGGCAAGGCTGAGCTGCGACCCGCAGCCCTGGTTGAGCCCGCTTACCGCGGGAAGGAAGGGGAACAAAGAGCCTCTGCTGCCACTTCTGTTTTTTCATTTTCTCACAAAGAGCTTGTAACTTTTTTCTGAATCTTACCTTCACATTGCACTCCAAGTGAAAAAAGACTAGAAACAAACGTGATATCTGGACAAGCTGCTTTGTATCCTACATTGTATGCATAATGATTTCTTTTGAGATCCTAAAGTTGATTTTCTACACATTTTGAGTATAATTAAGTCATACATAAACATCCAAACCTAGTGGTGCGATTCTGTTTTATTCCGAGGGCCTAAATACTGCCATGGCCTTGAACTCACAGTGATCCTTCGGCCTCAGACTCCCAATTGCTGGGATCACAGGTGTGGGCCACCATGCCTGCCCTCAGCACCTCCCTTACATGGTGCTCTGGATTTTAAAACCTGGCTGTGTCAAGATGAATTTTGTAACTTGCTGGTGTCTCCACAATGGACAATTACCTTGGTAACTTGCACTCAATTAACAAACACTTAAGGAACAGCTTCTGGTGACAAGCCGCTGTTTAAACAAGGGGCCTGTAGCGGTAACAAAACTACCATTAAGCAACTTGAACCTTTTTTTTGTGGTACTGGGGATTGAACCAGGTCCTTCACATGGAGCTACATCCCATCCCTTTTAATTTTTTATTTTAATTTTTATTTTTTTGTGACGGGGTGTCACTAAATCACTAAGTTGCCCAGGCTGGGCTTGAACACGTGTTCTTCCTGTCCCAGCCTCCCAGAGTGTCAGGATTACAGATGTGTGCTACCACACCTAGGTCTACATCTTTCTTTTAACTTCACTTTCTATTTAGAATTGAGAGTTGTTTATCTCCTAATCATGATAATTGCCCTCAAACCTCAGCTTTAAAGTGATTATGCATCCTTTGTTGAATGTTAATTAAGCTTTACCTTTGTTTTTTGGTATCAGGGATTGAACTCAGGACCTTGTGCTTGCGAGGCAGGTGGCAGCACCACTGAGCTAAATCCCCAGCCCTAAGCTTTTAACTTTTGAAACATCCATATCTAAGGCAGGCGCAGTGGCCCACACCTATAATCCCAGCACTTGGGGGGCTGAGGCTGGAGCATTGCCAAAAATTCAAAGCCAGCCTGGGCTACAATGAGTTCAAGGTCAGCCTGAACTGCATAGTGAGATTCTGTCACAAACAAAACATCCATATCTATCTTTTTAATTATATTTTGAAGTTGGGAAAACCTCACTGGACCAAAGTAAATTGTGCTGTTTTGGCTGAAATATTTGTCTCAGGCAGATGCCTGCCCCTTACAATGGGGAAAATGACTGTACCTTCCTGTTAGAAGCAGGGTCCCACACATCCTGGTGTTCTGGAAAAGAGTATGCTAATATCTTTAGTACTTGAGAAACTTTTTTGTCATCGTTTTTATTTTTGTTTATTCTGCTTCAAGCCCTTAACTAATTGTTAAAAGTAAATTGGGCTGGTCATGGTGGTGCATGCCTATAATCCCAGCTACTCAGCAGTCTGAGGCAGGAAGACTACAAGTTTGAGTCCAATCTGGGCAATCTAGTAAAGTCCTATTCTAAAATAAAAATATGAAAATGGGGTGTGTGTGTTAGTGTGTGTGGTTCAGTGACAAAGCTCTTGCCTAGGATGTGGGAGGCCCTGAGTTTAATCTCTAGTGCCACAAAACAGAAACAAAAAAGTAAATTGGATTAGTGCAATGAGCATAGATATTATGGGCAGTTACTTTACATGCCCCTTTGGGGAATGAACTGGAGAGAGGAATGAAAAAGCTCAAAGTTGGGAGGCTTTGGGGGCTGCTAACCCTAAACTTGAAGAGTCCAGTAGTGGATTCCTGTACTGTCATTGTCATTAACTTCCAGAAATTTTAAAATTTCTTTGATTCCTTCTGTGGTCCATTGGTTGTTTAGGAGTACAGTGGTACCTTGGTTCATGAATGCTTTTTCTTGTGAACAATTTCATTCAAAAATGGAAGTATTTGGCAAAATTTTGTTTTTGTCTGTAAACTCTGTATTGGATGATGATGACTGCAGCCATCTTTCCTCCATGAACACAAATGTAGTTCTTTTCTAGAATCATGGAGCAAATTAAGGTCATGAACCAAAGCACAACTGTATATTGTTAATTTTCCAGGAGCTTTAGCCTTTTCTGGAGTTGATTGATGTTTCTGAGTTGTCTGATGGTATGCATGAGGTCATTTTTTTCTTTCTTTTGTATTTATTTGGGCAGGCTTCGTGGGCTGGTGTGTGGTCTATTTGGGGAGTGTACCATGTGCTGCTGGGAAGAGTGTGTGCTCAGTTGCAGAGGGATGAAATTCTCTGTGTATATCCACCGGCCCCGTGTATTTTGGGGGGTGTGGTTCACTATGAAATTTCTTCATTGGTTTTTTGTTTAGTTGATCTGTCTCTTTGTGAAATGGGGTATTAAAATCCCCTGCTATGAAAAAAAAAGAAAAAAGAAGACCCTTTGAGGTATTGGCAATGTTTTGATGCTCTGGCTCTTGATCTCCATGGGAGCTTCATGGTTATTTGCTGTATAGTAGTCATTATATTGAATATTTAAGCTTTGTACATTTTTTCCATGTACATTCTAATTCACAGTAATGTGGAGGTTTTTTTCCCCAAAAAGTAAGGAAGGCCCTTTAAAATACAAACAAAAACTTTCATTTTGTTATTGACAAATCCTTTCCAGTTAAGTTTTCTAGTAGACAGGGCTGGGGATTTGGCTCAGTGGTTCCATCGCCTTCCTTGCAAGTGAAAGGTCCCCAGTTTGATCCCCGGTACCAAAAAACAAAACAAAACAAAATCATACTTGAAGACAGTCATCAGAAAGCCCCAGGCTGATTTTCCTGTCAAGTTATCTTCCTATCTGGGCTCCTGGGCAGGTAATACTCCTATCACTAACAGATAGCAAAAGGAAGTATTTAGGACTTATTTTAATTTCTTATCAAGATTGTAAGGATCAACCTCTGTATATGTGTGCAGCTGTGTTAGCTTCCATTACTGGAACAAGTCCCGGAGATCAGTAATTTAACAGACAAAGGTTTATTTTGGCTTAAATTTTAGAGGTTTCAGTCCATGCTCAGTTCACCCAGCTGCTGTGGGCCTCAATGAGGCACATATCATGGTGGACCAAACTTTTAGAGACCAGACTATCATAGCAAGATTGTGTGGTAAAACAGAACTGCTCTCTTTTCTGAAAGAGACTAGGGATCCATAATCCCCTTGAAGGTCATGACCCCAGTGACCTAAAGACCTCCCACTGGGCCCCACCTCCTAAAAGGGTCTGTCATCTCCCAATAGTGCCAAGCTGGGCACCAAGCCTTTGATGTATGGACCAGATCCAAACCATAGCAGTAACCATGATATTCAATCAGAGGTAAATATCCATGTGGCATTT